AAATATTGAGAAAAGTGCAATTGTTTTTAGAGAAAACTTGGTACAAGTGATCGTCGGGAAGAGTTAGTGATTTGCGTGCTCTCTAAATAGTTAAATCTTAATAATTCTTAATATAATATAGAAAATTTATCTACTTTACTAAATAAATTATATTAGAATATTTTATATATATTTTTCAAATTTGTATCAACAAGATAAACTGCTAAAAATATAATACTAATTGTATTAAATAAGTATTACCAAGAAAAATCTATAATTATTTATCTAACAGGTTCTCTCTTAGTGATACTTAAATAATAACAGCTTAGTCATTAATCCAAATGATAATTAATATTGTTAGTAGACCACTCTATATTTGAAAAATAAGAATTTTAATAAAAATATCAAATATTTTTTGTGTAGATAAACTTGTCAAATTTCTTTGTCTAGATTAATTCAATGAATTCTTTTTGTCTAAATTTCCTTTGTCTAGTAAGGCCACACAATGTTAATTTTTCATTTTGCATAACCTGGGGTTTAAAAATTATGTTGGCAGGTCGGATTTTTTTTTTTTTCTTTTTTTTTTTTTTAAAAAAAAAAAAAAACTTATGTTCGCACCTTACTTATGGGTTTTCATGTAGCCAGAAATCCTTAACTTCCAAGGGTTTATTGGAAAAGCATTTTACTTGTTCAGATATTATACCAACTTTCGAATCAGTTAAATCACATAATGCTGTTAATATATACTTGTGCTAATATTATAAATAAGATAATAGCGTTAGAAATTAAGTAAAATTTACTGCATAAAGTAAGTTTTTTTTTAGTTACAAAATTGTAGATTTTCATTATCGATTTTAAACTTGTTTATGATTAATAATTTAATTTGCACTTGTCTAATCTGGGATATTGTCATAGAAGTCTAGCTTTTTTGATCTTCTAACCGGTTATTTATAACAATTTTACAAATTTCCATGATTAAGCAGTTTATCCTTGTTTGGTTATCCAAAAAAGGGCGGCCAAAAAGACTTAATGCACATGATACGTTCTATAGATATGGTTTTGGATATACACTAATCAAATAAGGCAGGGTATTAACTTTAATTAAAATATGCATCTAATTATGTACTAGCTGGTGGCTTCCTACCTGCATAAACATGCTAGCTATAAACAAAGTATTTTAATGTTAATAGCAGAATTAGCATCATTTAATATCAGCCTACCCGTCTTGTATAAAACACACTAGCTATAATTCTAAATAATTGTGAAAATAGCAGGAATTTGAGAAAAAAGAGAAATTGGGCGTGAATCTGGATTGTTATTACAGGCAGAACTCCTGCTATAGATTATTTTTTTACTAGTACAATATTTTGTTTGTAATTGCGTCAAAATTTTCCAATTAAGCAGTATATAAGTTAAAGTTAGATTAAGTGTTGCTCTGCGAATTTTTAGAGTGCATCAGTGTATTACCACTTAAACTATCATTCATATCCTTTAATCACTCATCAACTTGAGTATACAAAAGCATTGTTTTTATTAATTTTTGATTAACAAAAATCAAAATGCCTGTTATATCTGTACGAATTAAGGCAGAAAATAAAGTAAAAGTAAACTGGATTGGTGTTCTTGTACCTAAAGATATTACAGTAAAGCAGTTTTATGAAGATTTTATTGCAAGAAAAATTGTTTCTGAAGTGCAGTTAAATGATGAAGACCGTTTACAACCAGTTAAAGTAGAGTTTTCACATAATACAACCAGACCTTTTAATGTTGTTAGTATGGAATGTAACATGGTTGAGGCAATTGAAGCTTGGAGAAACAAAGTGCAATATTATCAAACAAATAGCCAAGCATCATTATATTCTGAAACACCAATTAATATTTTTTCACAAATGATGAATGATGCTACTAACTTAAAACATTTACCAACTTTTACTATTTCTGAACATTCAAATTTATTAGAAAAGTTACGATATAATATTGTTGAATGGATTCGTAAAAATAATGGTGAATGAAGTAGGGATACTGCAATAACAACTGGAAAAGAATTTGTCAAAGATTTAGCTGCTGCATTATGGTATGTAGATAAATGTGATCCAGAAAAGTTAAAAAGCTGAAGTTGT